TACTCTTATAAGCACCCTATAATTGCTTTCACATGTATAATTTCTTCATATCACTTTTAATAGCTTTAAATAGGACATTTATGAGACCAATTATTTTATTAGTGCCTTCCTGCATTGGATAGTAAGGAATATAAAGGCAGAAATACAATTGATGTTTTGTATATTGAACTTTTACCCAGAAACTTGGCTGAATTCTCTTACTGATTCTAGTATCTGTAGATTCATTTGTATTTTCTGTGTATACAACCATGTCATCTGAAAAAAATAACAGCTTTACTTGTCCTTTCCAATTCTTATACTTTTTAGTTTTTTTATTTTAATGCCTAGGACTTCCACTACAGTATTGAATAGGTTGGGACAGTATACATGATTTGTTTCTGATTCCAGAGGCAAAGTTTTTAATTTTTCACTTCAAGTATAATATTTGTTGTATTTTTTGCAAATGCTTTTGTCATATTAAGAAAGTTCACTTCTATTTTTAGCTTGCTAAGATTTTGTATTACAAATTAATATTGTATCATATGAAATGTTGCTTAGACATGCATGAATTTTTTCTCCCCTGTATTCTGTTAATGTGTTGTGCTGGGGCCCACGGCAGGCCACCCCAAAATATCCCACAATATCATATTGATTATTTTGAATTAAAGTTACTTGAAAAGCAAAAAGGGCATTCTGACCTCCTGTCTCTGTTCCCCCTGAATGCAGGAAATAAATCTCCTATGAAAGGTGCTCCCCATGTGCCTTTGTCACCAGAGCTGGGGATTCCCCGCCGAGAAGCCCATATAAACAAACTTTGCTCATTTACTCCCTCAGACCTAACCTCTGCTTAAATTCCTCACTAGTTATGTACCCCAAACTAAGTTTCCTTGTCCTGTCATTCCTCACAAATTTATTTTTTCTTTGTGTGAAAGATATATACACTGCCTTCTTTGTTCACTCTCTGAGCATCATTTTCATGATTTTCCCATGAATGCATAATTAAATTGGGTTTTTCTCTTTAATGTAGTCTTGTGTCAATTTTATTACTAGTCTAGCCAAAAGAACACAAGAAGGGTAGAAAGGGGATTTTCCCAGTTCTGAAAGTTGAATAATATTCCTGGAATAGTATTTCTGGTATCATCTCAACTAGGCCAGGCTTTATTATCTTTTTAAATGATCACTGTATTCAGTTTGTTGATACTTTGCTTAGGATTTTTGCATCTATAGCCAGTGATATTGGCTTGTAATTTAATTTTGCTTTCTTTTAATATCTTTGCTAGTTGTTAATATCAAAGCTATGTTGGCCTTATAAAACTGGCTGGAGACTACAGATGACTTTTCTATTTTCTGGAACTATTTGGTTTCATTTGTTTGTTAAACGTTTGTTTAACAAACGTTTAAACATCATTAAGGCCATTTTCGCCAGGAGTTTCTTTGTGGAAAGATTCTTACTTATTAGTTATATTCTTTAAAATATTTACAACAATTCAAATTTTTCTATTTCTTCTTGTATCAGTTTGGTAATTTTTACTTTTACAGTTATTGGTTCATCTCATCTAAATTTTCAAACTTATGGGCATGAAATTGTTCTTAATATAATCTTTCTGTCTTTTTATATTTGTGGGATCTGTGATAAAGTCTCCTTTTTCATTCCCAGTATTATTTATTTCTGCCTTATCTCTTTTTGTTCTTGATTAATGTTTTGCCTAGTTTATTAGATATTGTTTTTCCAAGTTTATTAGATTTTTGAACAACTAAATTTTGGTATTATTATTCTATTTTAAAAGATTTTTTTCCCTTTATTATATACTTCTACTTAAAAGAAGTATATAACTTGCTCTTTTTTTCTTACTTCTTGAGACGAGTCACTAGCTCATTGATTATCAACTTTCCTTTTAAAAAATATATGCATTTAAAACAATACATTTCTTTCTAATTAGTTTGTTTATACCCTTTTTTTTTAAACTTTTGAGGAAGTTTGGCCCTGAGCTAACATCTGTTGCCAATCTTCCTCTTTCTTTTTTCTCCCCAAAGCCCCAGTACAAAGTTGTGTATCATAGCTGTAGAGTTGTAGCTCTTCTATGTGGGATGCCACCTCAGCATGGCTTGATGAGTGATGAGTAGGTCTGCACCCAGGATCCAAGCCGGCGATCCCTGGGCCCCCGAAGCAGAATGCGTGAACTTAACCACTATGCCACCGGGCTGGCCCCCTTTATCTATACCTTTCTAACCTACCACCCGAAAAATCCTTAAGATGATCAACTGAAAAAGGAGAGCACATTAAAGTATCTAATTATTAAGGAAAATGGGAAAAATAGGTTTTCTGTATAGCCACAATGACCAGTCAAGTCCAATTATAGAAAAAAAAAATCCTAAATACATTAGATACGGACATATTGTGACATTTATACGAGTAACATAAAACACAAACATTACATATCTTGGAAAATCTTATCATGGGAAGAAGTAGGATTGTTTGAAAAAGAAAATCTTTTGAGGCCTGAGAATAACACAAAGGATCCAATTATCAAATTACACTTACAAGAATCAGATTTTACCCAATTATCAAACTATACTAAAAGTTTGAAGTACAGATGATTGTGAAACACAGACACATGGAGAGGCCTGAGCTCACTAACATCGCTCCCCAGAAGAGATTTCAGTCATGTCAACGGCCTCCTGACATTTCCTGCTTGCAAGCATTTATTAACCTCTTATAATGTGATTTTGAATGCTGTATGACTGAAGTTTTTAGACTACACATATTGTATTATTGCTGGTTTTACTATATAAATATAATCATGAGGATTGTTTTCTACCGTTTCCTGAAGAGCATAGGACATGTCTTAGGCAAACACTTAATCAATTATTGTGTATGAAAATCTATTTATGCTGCTTCTAGTGGTTTGGCGTCTCCTCGTTGGCCTCAGCAGCTTAAATATCACTGGGGATGATTTTGAATTCTTTGCTTGGCTTGAGATCTCTAACACAAAAGCAGGAATTCCAGGAATCTCCTGCCTTTGGCAAATATGATGAACTGGGGCAAGAAGAATACCGGGTCCATGGGGACTTACTCTACACATTTCTGCCACAAAGTCTGCCCTGTTTATCTCCATCTCACCCTCTAGTCCAGGGACCTCCTCTTCTCTAGAAGATAAGAACTTTATTCCGTTTGCACTTGAGAATCTGGGTGGGTGGAGGAAAGCAGCCAATTCCTTTAGATCTGAATTCCCATTATGGCCGAGTTTTACAGTACTTACTATTGTAGTCTGTTTACGGAAGTAACTAGGGATAGAGTTTTAAGTAGGTTCTACGTCTCTGTGGATGGAATGGATGAGGTTTTGTGAAAGTAGTGGAAGGGGAAACGGATTTTGGTTTTAAATTTTATCCTTGTAAGTTATGCTAGGGTATCTTCTTTCTGTGCACATCAGATAGGTAAGTTTTACTGTTAAGTGTCAATATTGTGAACTTTAGAAGGATTACGTTCCAGCTTTACTAGTTATGAATGGTTAGACAAATTATATAAATTCTTTAAACTGCAATTTACTTATCTTATAAGTGGGGGATAATATTTATTTCACAGGGTTAATGTTAATAAGATATGGGTATATAATGTTTAGCAGAGTAGTCTGCATCTTACTGCACAAAATTGGGGTTCTCTGCTCGATGGGCATAAACAAGCCAATTAATTATGGCACCAACCTGTGAGGGGAGAAATCAGCTTTATTCTGCAAGATGGATCTCCAGAGAGACAGAGGGCATGTGCCCTCAGATCTGTCTCCCGGATTCAGGATTTGGGACAAAATTTAAGAGATTAGGGAGAGCAGGTTGGCACGTGGAAACGCTGGTGGGACAGGTTTCTATTGGTGGGCTTCAGGTATTTACGGTAAGGTTTTAAACATTTATGATGAGGTTCTAAACATTTATGATGAGGTTCTAAATATTTGGCATGAGGTGGGGAAGGAATTTTAGCCCCGAATCTTCCTGAATGAGGGACCCCTTGCTTCTGATAAGAGTCCAGCTTTCAAGTTCCACTCTCGCCCCCTCCTTGGGTTCCCTAGAAGGAAGATCTCTTTTTCCGAGCTCATTTCTGGTCACGATTTCTTCTTTTGTGCATGCCCTGGCTACGTGACTTTGCAGTTTTTCTGAAAGACAATACTTAATCACTTTGTTGATAAGAGACGGGGTCTGTTCAAACTGATTCTAAATGGACCCGTGGTTACAAGAACATTTAAGCAAATATATGTTAGATGTTAATGTGATCATCTAATATTGTAATGATTATTCCACATAATGTTTACCTTCTATTTAATTTAATTTTTTTGTCTTCCCCATATATACATGTATTAATTAAAGGTGACTAAACTATGATCATTTGAATTTTCATCATTTCCTCTATCATTTTTTTCTTAAGGATGGACAACATTTGTTAGATTACTTGTCCCTTAGGTTTTCAGTGACCTATTACTAGGAATGTTTGGAGGTGGAAAAATGAATGGGAAATGGTCATTAATTCACACATCTCTTGGAGATTTAGGTGTATAACATACTGTAGCACAATAATAAAGTATGGTGGCTGCTTCAAGATGCTCAGAATTTATTAGATGGGAGCATAAGTTAAAAAGAAAGCACTTTTGTCATTGGTGCTGAAAAAACACTGAAAAACAAGTGTATGGGTGTAAAGAGAAGGTTGTTAACCATTAACTTGAAATATTTCCCTAAATTACATACACCTAATTTGTTATGAAAGATGTTTCAATCACTTAGGACACTACCTATTATCAAGTTCTGCATGTAGAAAATATTTTATATACTCTAAATTTTAGACTTAGTGACACGTTTAACTGTACTAAAGAGGAAAAAAACTAAGGCATTGAAAAGGAATATATTATTAAATTATTATTAAAATGCCTAATTATCTCAGAACAGTGCATTTCTACTCTTGACAATAAAGTAAAATTTCATATCAGTAATTTTTGTACAATACACAACACCATAAAATATTATGTTTCCTTGTTCAGAAAACCTACTGAAAGCCCAGAAGAAAGTCAGCCCCAGCAACCTGATGATGATTCTCACAATGTAGCTCTCTATGTTAAAAAAGCACATGGTGGCCATACTTTACATGGACCAAAAAATTCTGAAGAGAATTTAGTAGAATTCCTGGCTATCTTAAAGAAATTGTAAGTATTTTTAATATATTACTTCTTGTAGTTGAAGGAGTCTCTTGAATAGATTTTAAAAAATTTTATTATTATTATTATTAATTTTTTTGGTGAGGAATACTGACCCTGAGCTAACATCTGTTGCCAATCTTCCTGTTTTATTTTTTTTGCTGAGGAAGATTTGCCCTAAGCTAATATCCATTGCCAATCTTCCCCTTTTTTTGCTTGAGGAAGATTAGCCCTGAGCTAACATCTGTGCCAGTCTTCCTCTATTTTGTATGTAGGACACCTCCACAGCATGGCCAACGAGTGGTGTAGGTCTGTGTCTGGGATCTGACCCTGAGAAACTGGGCCATTGAACTGGAGCACATGGAACTTGAACCACTTGGCCATGAGGACGGCCCCCCTCCTTTTTTTAAGTTGGTTGTTTGAAGCTAAGTGTACTTTAGTTGTAATCTAGCACTAAAGGGTGATTCAGGAGAGCTGGAAATGCTGAAGACTTTGTTTCTAGATGAATGCAATCTTCATCAACTCAATTTTCATGGCATATCATAGATATATTGGTAATATATCCAAATGTGGCACATTATTTTAATTTTAAGTTACAAGCAAAATAGATGTTATTGCTGATTATGTTAAATGGAAATTATGTTTACGATTTCGTTAGCTTACGGTTACTTGTTAGTTCTTCACAGAATTTAAACTGTCTTCCTCATCACAGAGCCTTTAAATAAACTTATCTCATATTCTTTTTAATTTCCTGGGGTGTTTTGTGCTATGATTAAGGCACAACTGCCTGAAGGAGAAGAAGAAAAAGGAAAAAGCGGGGATTAAATCTGAGTGGAGCCTGGTTACCAGAGATGGTATTGGATTTATGAATAAAATTAAAGTTGAAAAGGGACCATGGGAAAATGTGATATTGGAACTGAGACTGACAACAGAAATAAAACCAAGAGTTAAGTATCAAGATTAGAATCATGCCTGAAAGAAAGACCAGTATTGTGGAATGAGAAATGAAAAATCTGGCATTTATATTTGGAGGAATACACTAAGAATTCTATCCTGTAAGCACTTTTCTCCAAAATTGTAATTGCAGATTTAAGAAAATATGATCAAAGCTTCTAGAAAATTTGAGAATGATTAGATTTCTGATGATTTTACTTATAATAATGAAAAAATAAATATAGCAAATGCTAGTCACTTTATAGGAAAACAGCTGTGAGGGAATTGTAGAGAAGGAAATCATAACCACCCGCTGTGTAAGGGTATAATTAAACTGGTAAGCTGCAAAAATAGGAAATTTAACTAGAATGTGTTCAAAATATACTTTAACTGGTAAAAAACACTAGAGCATTGACAGTTATTGGAGCTATAGGATGCTCTAGCCACTTTCATTCCATTAAACCATAATGTTGATTAAAGTTGCATTGGATTAAAAATTTTAAGTGTCTAGAAACCCATGAATCACTCACTGTTGATTTCACATTGTGCTGGTCTGTGGGATTTTTAATGGTGGTGGTAATCCCCGCCTCTCTGAAAATAACAAGTTGGCAGTGTCCAGACAACAAAGGTTCTGAGCTGAGATGCGGGAGGAGCTCAAGTGGCTGTGGCTCTTGGGCAAGGTGTCAAAATGCTAGGAGGGAAATATAGGCTGAAGTCAGACGGAAACTACCAATGGATAAGAACCCAGTACCATGTTGGAAATGGACTGAAGTGAAAAGCAGGAGCCATGGAAGGAGGCTATTCAAACACAGGGGAGAATAGACAAAGATGTCGCTGTTGCACCCTGTTGTCGATCTTCATGGATTCCTTTTAACAACCAGTCTCCAAATACCCTGGACAATAGGTGTTGGGACAATGTCAATTTCCAGAACCCACTCCCTCACTCACATGTGAGAGAATGGGTGGGTGGGTGGAAGAGGCCTGAGTACTGCAGCTCCCACTTTCAGTGGCTCACAATTGGCCAAGTATGACTCTTCACATGGCAGGTCCTGACTGCTGCCAATGGGTGGGGCTGTGACAGCCACTGAATTACAGTAGCAGAGTAAATGTGAAGGGAATTCACTTTTATGGGATACTTAATATTCACACGATGCATTAGTTTCTATACATAAAATTTCTGATGTAATCCTCACATCAATACTTTGAGGTGGATATGGTAAGCTAGTAAGTAATAGAGTAATTTAGCAATGTGCTAATCCATAATCTGTGCTTGTTCTACAGAACATGCTTTGCATCTTCTTGTCTCCTTGGTACACTAGTGTATGCATTTCCTATTGCTGTGTAACAAATGATCATAAATGTGGTGGCTTAAAAAAACATACATTTATTATTTCCCTGGGCAAGGTCTATTATCTCCCCAGGCAAGGTCCCTGGGCAAGATGTTCACTGGGTTACATTCCTTTGTGGAGCATGGGGTCGTCTTTAATCTCATGTGTGTTGTTGGCAGAATTCAGTTCCTTGTGGTGGTAGGTCTGAGGTCCCTACTTTCTTCCTGACTCTCAGTTGGGGGCCTCTCTCAACTCCTAGATGCTCCACAGATCCTTGCTGCATGGTGCTCTCTCAGCTCTTTTTACAACTTGGAAGCTTAAATCTTCAAAGCCAGCAAGGGAGAGCCTCTCTTTGTCTCCCATTCCACTAAGACGAAGTCTTTTCTTAAGATTCTTTTTTAATGATTTTTTTTTTTTGAGGAAGATTGGCCCTAACCTAAAGTTTGTTGTCAATCTTCCTCCTTTTTTCTCCCCAAAGCCCCAGTACATAGTTGTATGTCATGGTTGTACATCCTTCTAGTTGCTCTATGTGGGACACCACCTCAGCATGGCTTGATGAGCAATGCATAGGTCCGTGCCCAGGATCTGAACCGGTGAACCCTGGGACACGGAAGCGGAGTGCTCGAACTCAACCATTACGCCCCCAGGCCAGCCCCACATGAAGTCTTAAATAACCTAATCAATGGCATGCATATTCCATCACGTTTGCCATATTTTGTTGGTTAGAAACAAATAATTAGTTTTGCCCCCACTTGAAAAACTCATGGAGAAGAGTTTGGGGGTTTCCTTAGGGTGTGCTAGCCATATTTGGTAACATTAGAAATCTCTTTGTGACTCTGTTAATCACAGAAGCTGCATGCTTTAAGTACTTGCACAAAAGTAGTTCAACTAAAATCTATTTATTGATGGATAAATTGTCACATCTGTAGCCCTCTGTTTATTTCTACCTGAACCATGATCAGATCAATGCTCTGTTTCAGTGACGTGATTGAACACATTTTTTAATGTAGCTGCCTTACACTCTCTAAAATTCTTACTTTTTCATCCCGCCCAAAATTTAAACAAACTGAAATTAATTTTGAGTAACAGTAGCCTCTTTTTAAAGAAATGCAAATATGCCTGACAAGATTAAGAAACTATTGATTATTGACAACTTGGTGTGATTTGACTTAATCCTATTGATTACTTAACTTCTACTTCAATTTAGCAGCTCTGAGTAAACAGTGCTAAATGGGAGGAAGCATAAATTATTTTGAAACATTAAAATCACTGGAAAAGGCGTGCCTGGGAGATGTCACCAGAGAAGAGGTGTTTGAGTAACTAGAGGACATTGTGTAATTGGGAAGTGTGTGTGGAGAATAGACAGTGGGAAGGAGAGATGAGAGAGAGAAAGAAGAGAGTTGGGAGACTTCCTGTTAATTTTATATTTTAAGCATATCAGATTGAATATAACCTTATCATGTATATTAGTAAGGATTTATGATTGTAAGCAACAGAAGCTGACTCTGGTTAATTAAAACAAACAAAAAGGGTGGAGGAGAGAGGGGGAAATCTGTAGAAGAATACTGAGTAGCTCCAAAAATGGAAGAACTATTAGATGCTGGAGATGATATGAACTGGAGCACCAATGGATGTCTCTTCAGGGTACTACATTGGAATCAATCAGCTACAACTATTTTTGATTAGGGGTTGTTAGGCTCACACTTTAGTTTCAGGGATAAGGAGTCAGATTGTTGTAGTTTGTTTTTGTACTCACCCCTTGGATAAATGAGAAACTATTTCAGAAGAAGAGGGAAATAGATCATGAATAAACAACATTAAAAGCTATGAACTAACACATGACTTGGAATTTTAATTTATAAATAATTTTGACAGATTTTATTTTTCACCCATTAATTAATGAATTGAACATATACTTTTGAAAAAACACAAACATATGGAGGCTAAATAACATGCTATAAGCAACCAATGGTTGAATGAAAACATCAAAGAGGAAATCAAAAAATACCTTGAGACAAATAAAAACAGAAAACAACAGTCCAAAATCTATGGGATGCAGCAAACGCAATTCTAAAAGGGAAGTTTATAGTGATACAGGCCTATGTCAAGAAACAAGAAAAATCTCAAATAAACAATCTAACTTTACACCTAAAGGAACTAGAAAAAGAAGAACAAAGCCCAAAGTTAGTAGAAGGAAGGAAATAATAAAGATCAGAGTGGAAACAAATGAAATAGAGATCAGAGTGGAAACAAATGAAATAGAGACTAAGAAACCAATAGAAAAGATCAATGAAACTAAGAGCTGGTTCTTTGAAAAGATAAATAAAATTGATAAACCATTAGCCAGACTCATCAAGAAAAAAAAGAGAGGGCTCAAATAAATAAAATCAGAAATGAAAGAGAAGTTACAACTGACACCACAGAAAAACAAAGGATCATAAGAGATTATTACAAACAATTATACACCAACAAATTGGACAGCCTAGAAGAAATAGGTAAATTCCTAGCATCATACAATCTTCAAAGACTGAATCAAGATGAAATAGAAAATCTGAACAGACCAATTATTAGAAATGGAATTGAATCAGTAATCAAAAAACTCCCAACAAATGAAAGTCCAGGATCAGACAGCTTCATAGGTGAATTCTACTAAGCATTTAAAGAAGAGTTAATACTTATCCTTCTCAAACCATTCCAAAAAATTGAAGAGGAAGGATTACTCCCAAACTCGTTCTACAAGGCCATTAC